TTCCCTTCTCTCCCTTTTCTAACATGAAAACATTTTTCTGATGCAACATTTACATAATGGAGTAGATCTAGTCCTCGAGGAGGCCAATGCTAGTGTCTATCTTGCTCATCCTTCCTACGCACAGAGCTTTGCATTTGCCCTTGTTGAGCTTCACAAGGTCTCCCTTGGTTGGTTCCTCCAGCCTGCCTGGGGCCTTCTCGGTGGCAGCTCTACCACTGAAGCCTATCGTCTGCCCTTCCCCACCACACTTGGTGTCATCTTCAAACTTGTGGAGAGCATGCACCATCACCTCTTCATGGGTCATTGATAAAGATGTTAAAAAAGACAGGTCTCAGGATAAGCCCCTGTGATACTGGACTTTCAGTCAGAGTTTGGGTCCACTCTGTTGATCACAACTCTCCATGCCCAACCACACAAGCAATTTTAGCTTACTAAGTTTTCCATTCACCTATAATCCTGCAAAACACACCTTGGAGACTCAATATGCTTAAACACATTTGTTTAAATCCTGGAATTTAATTTGTAATTAAAAACCTTTATGATCTGAATACAACACATAATGGCAGTGAAAGAGACTGATGAGAATAAAGTTAGGATAAACACATACTATTACGAAAAGGCAAAATGAACCCTTTTGCTCAAAACAATTTAAACACTTCTTTGGAGATTAATAGGCAAAGAGGACAAATAGAAAAAAAATATTTTAAATAGTACTCTATATGAAAATTCCTGCCTTGCTTTTATAGACACTACTCATAACAAAGGCAAAATTAAAAGCAAGAATCTAACTACAGTCTATCTGTTCCTGCCCTTCTTAATTCTTTTGGGCTGAAAGAAGGTCTAACCTTCTAAGGTTTTGCACTGTATCTTAGAAAAGGTCAGGCAATAGCTGCGCAGGAATAGTAGATCAACAAAATGGCTGGTATAAAACATTAACAGAATTTTTTAATAAGAAAGTTTTGTAAATAAATACCTAATTAACCAATTTTCCAAATACAACTAACCATACCCAGATGTTGATTGTTTCTTGAAAATAAAGGTGTTTGAGATACACCTCTGAAAGCTTTTAGTGGTATTTCATAAATCAGACAGATTTTTAGCTGTTTGACAAAATAATCTGACATTTTACTATTACAGTAATTAAAAAAACAAGGGAAATTGTGCATTATCATTTGATAATGTTTAGTGACTGTTTAGTGACTGAGGGTACTTCATTTGACACATTTAAAAGATGTCTCCTTTTCAGAATAAAAAAATTAACCGCTATCTATTACATAGTATTCCTCTAGGTTGTCTAACACTATACATCTAAACCCAAATATAATGGGAATTTCTTTTTTTTAGAATGTTACCCTCTTCGAAAAAACGAGCAGCTGGAGGAGTATGGTAGTCCCCTTACACTGACCACTCGACAGATATCAAGTACTTCCCAGAAAATATGAAGAAATTTATTCAGTGTTTCTTTACATGCCAAGGAAAATTAGAATTAACACTAAGTCTTAAAATAACAGCAGCAGTGCACACTCATAAAGAGTCATTAGGATTTGCCAGGTTGAGTGTCACTTCAAGCACACCAGATTCATTGACTTAAGCTATGAGATTCTGATCAATCCAAGAACTGCACTGAGACAAAGAGCAAGAAAAACTAAAATAAATTCATCTAAGAAATAAATAAATTTTTAGTATTATGTGTTTGACCCTGGGTGTGTTTAGCAAAAGACCAAGATATCTCTGTGCTGTATGAGCACTTGTCACACCCCTTAAATGGAATCAACTGGCAGCTTTTAAAGCTCCTCATCTCTTTAATCTTTATTGCACCAGACAGCAGTTGGAGACAGTAACTATTTATGAATCTCTAATTCCATTTAATCAGTCTAGCTGATCAATGATGGTAATGAGAAACAAATGACAGAGAGAAAGCGAAATGAACAATATGCTCACTCTTTTAATACTATTTCACAACTACTGTCAATAATGCTCTTACCCTAATACGAAGGGAGAACTAAGTAGGGTCAATGCTGCACTTTTTTAAAAAAGCTGCACTCTTGAGAATGTGATAATATAAAAAATCATCATGGACTACAACATCAGCTTGCCATGGCACTGACTGTATTGAGAGTGAAAAACTGAAGAATTTCATAAGCATACTAGGACTGCATATCATCACCTATATGTTACACAAATCAAGAAAAGGGTTCACAAAATTCCTGAACAAAATCTCACTCAGGGAGCAGAGGGTTTTTTTCCTGTGAAAACACCTCTTTCAATCACAAATATAACTCATTCTGTATAAAGGAGATACTGGCTGTGACCTGGGTCGATGCATTTGCTTTTTGTCAGGGATCGAGATACAATCATGGTTACTAAGTGTTCTGATTCACTGCCCTAAGAGGAGGTATTGTGATGGCAGAAGTGTTTACTGCTTCTTCACCAGCTCAGTTGAGATGTCTACCCCAATATCATAAAGAACAGTCAATGGAACCCGTTCCTCAGTTGACAGCTGCCTACCCCAGTGTATTAACATAAACCATCCCTCATTCTGTTTATGCTAATACACTGTGTTTTAGACTATGGCAACCAGTTACCTGCCTCTTGCTCACAGCCATCCTGCAGGCCACATCACAGCCAGCAGGGAAGCTGTGCCAGCTGCTGTGGCAGGAAGAGTGCCTGCTGCCAGCGTTAATCCCCACCTGAGAGCATGAGTCAGCCCTCCCCAGAGCACAGATTATTTAGCACAACTGATTTCTTCTCATTTCATGAAAGTGATTGAGCACCTTTTATAACATGTTGTTTAGCTAAAGTATGCTGCAAAAATGTACCTCAGGCAATGAATTTACCTGTTTCGCCAGCTTTAAGAACTTGCCTATTTAATGTACTAGTAAGTTTAAAAAACAAGTTAAAACATTCAGAAGCTGTTCAGTCTAGAGTGTTTGGGGAAGTATATGAAAGAGATTTGATTTTCCTGTACCTCAGACAGCTTTGTCAAATATTCACACAAGAGGCTACAGCAGTGATTGCAATAAGTCATCTAAAGTTTGTCATAAGAAAGTACTTAAGTCTTCTAGTGGAGAACAATTGCCACAAATTGAGATCAAAGGCATGCTGAGCTACCAGAACAAGATGACTAATTGTTATGGGGCTTTTGGTATCACTGTAAAAAAAGAAGCTTGATCTTGTACTCAGTAATATTTATTAAAAGCACATGACTAGAGACCATCCCACTTTGCTGACCCCTTTTCCACTTTTCATACAGAGAAGCATAATGACTGTGTCTTCAGGCACTTCCAATTTGATAGGAAGAAACATAAGGATAGAGAAGCAGTAGTGAACAAAGAGTGTTTTGAGTCTGTTACCAATTAGAGTTTTATATGCCCTAATCAAATAGATGCATAAATATTTGCTGTAATAGATATTAATGCCAGTGTACACTGCTTGGTAGAAGAATCACAAGCACTAGTATCTTAGTACTATATTCTTATTCTCGTATCTGCAGCTAATAGGTACAAATGACTACCAGTAATTACAAAATTTCAAAGTATTGAGTTCGTGACTCAGCTGTACTACAAAACCATATTTCAATATTTGACTGTTACCAAACTCAGGTTAAATAGACAAGACATAATGACAAATAATTATAGTTTAAGATTTCATCAGATTACATTATTCTGATGAAAAGGAGGGATGCAGCTGTAAAGCTTTTGACATTTTTCCAAACAAGCTGTCCATAAGCAAACTAGAGAAGTCTGGTATCAATGGGGGTATAAAGCTGGTTGGAATACTATATGAAGTTAAGCTAGAGAAGATGCTTTTCAAACCTGCAGTCTGAGAAAAGACTGTTAAATACCATGAAGTCAAGGCTGGTACTCACAGCAACTCTAAGAGACTATAGAAGAGACCTGGAAAGGTAAATAGGGAATCATTTGGTGTTCTAAGATGGGCAAAACATGGTACGTACTGAAACCAGTGATGGGGTGTCAGTGCTGTGGAAGGAGCTCTGGGTCTTATTTGGAGTCACATCCCAACACAACCACACACTGAATGTGGCAGCTATTGAGAAACAGAGAGGCAGCATGCTTAGGTAGGTACCTAAGTGGAAGGAGAGACTACAAAATATATGAATTAGCTCTTGTGTTGGATCAACAGAAGAAATGACTCATCTGGACAAATGTGCCCTAGTTTTAGAGTCCTCAATTTCAAGAAGGATGTGGACTAGATGAAAAGAATCTCAAAAGATCGCAACAGCGTGATCAAAGGTCTAGAAAACACTACTTACCAGGAAAGATTAAATTAATTAGGTGTTCTCTAGCCCAAAAGAAAATATAACTGAGGGTGGATATAGTAAGTCCCAAATTATATCACAGATTCTTTCACAAAGAAGAAGGAATAATTTCTTTTTTATGGCCATAATGAGCAGGAGAAAAGCTAATGCACTTTAACTGCAGTAAGAAGTATGTGGTTTAGTTATAACCAAAAATACTGCCTCCAGCTTCCTACATTTCTTATATTAAGGATGCTGAAGCAATGCAATTTCTAGCCATCTGTGAAATATTAATTTTTGCAGGTTTTTTGAAATAAGTTAGACAAGCATATATCAGCAATGACTTAGGTACAGCTGTTTCCGTCTTAAGAATACATTAGACATCCTTCTGAGATCCTATGTGTCTATCATAATCAAAACTTATCTCTTGTTCATTGCCAATATATAGCTTCTCAAATGTAGGAAAGTCATGCATCTCTGATAACCAGCTGCTATATTTCAAATACGTTTTTTTCATTGCTGCCCTTCTGGGATGATCTTCCCACGAACTGTTTCAAAATGTAATGCATTACACTCAAAAATATCCTTAATGTTTACAAAGGCTCAGTAACACTTCACTTCCTAGTGTGCTAATGTTGTCATCTGAGACATTCGTAGATACTGCCACCTGAATTTCTATATACATGACTATCCACTTTTTTTCATTAAATGTGTTATGTTTTGAATGTTTGCTCTTTGGGGCAAGGTTTATCATTTAGTTTTTCATTTCAACAGCGCTAAGTACAATAAAGTCTCCGTCATCTGTGAATGTTAGCTGCCATGGTACTACAAACAATAATGACACAATGTGCTAACAAACTAACACAGCAGGGTGCTATGGGAAAGAACTGAGATTAATTTCAGTGTGACTGGCCATGTAGCAGAAAGTGCTTGCAGTTGGTGTCACTTTAGTCTGGGCTCTTTCCGTGGAAAATCCTACATCAGCACTGGTGGTTAGTGCACAGTGGCTCCTGTTCACCCAGAGAATATATGTTCTTACTTATCTGGCTCATCTTGAAATGACTTACAGACACCAAAAAATAATTCAATTGCCCCTTCCATTTTCCCCAGTTTTGTTTCATCACTGATGGACTGTTCATAGCCACACTCTTCTTTGTTTTTATTTCAAAATTGTTACAGCCTTTAAATTATTTGCAATTTGTAAAGTACCCACCAATAGAACAACAACAATGGTAAGAGACAGTGTTGACTTTGAAGGTAGATACTGAATATATTCCATCATTCTGGTTAGAACAGGTTATAATCCAATCTTCCTCCTAAAGTGATTTGATCTCATGAAGCATCAACCAGACTAAGGAACAGTTCTTTGGCTGAAGAGACTTTCTGTCATTTGGCTTTGTGTATTTTGAAGCTGCAGCATTTACATTTGGCAGTTATCCTCATACTTCTCTTTCTAAAGCATCTGAAACCACTTATATCTTTCATATTCTTCTGTTTAAATTCACATTGCTTTTTGCCTCTGTGAGTGTAAGGAAACCATCACGATTATTCCCTGCTACACACTTCTCTTCCAGCTGTGTGTCAGTATCCCTAAATCCTATCTTATGGATTGTTTTAAGTAAAATAATAGCCATGCTGGCTCAGAACAAAGTCCATTTCATTTGGCACTCCTCCTAACAGGCATCTACAGCAGACTTACAGTGGCACAAGAACATGACAGGCAACCACAGAGTAAGCTTCCCATTGCAAGGATCAGCAACTCAGAGACTTTCAGAGGCAAAGGTGATGCCTTTCTAAAATAGCCTAAGAGTGAGGTTTATTATGGTGTCCTATGCCTTTAGAAGAATGTCATGTGTACTTTAAACAGATAATTCTACATGTAATTTTAGGGGCTACAAATTAAAGACATTCAAGATCATTCCCATAATGCAAGGAGGTCCCAAAACTTCTTTTCACAACCCTATCCTATAACAATTCAAATGTAGATATACAAAGGGCTCAATGATCAGGAAGTCTACAATTCCCACTGGGAAGCCTACAATTCAAACTGTAGGCAACTGTCAGAAATACAGAATTTCCACAGCTAGTGAGTGCTCTTCTTTGGAAATGAACATGCTGCACTCAGGAAGTTCACTATAGAACCCTATGCAAAACTAAGAATTCTGAGTGGAACAAACAACAAACATAGCTGACTAAGGCATTTGTGAGCAGTAGTATCTGAAGATGGAACATGGTGATTAATGGAAGGCTACACTCCTGGGTAAAGAAGCACGTCTTGTTCACTTTTACACATCAGTGATCTAGAAGAAGGAATTTGCAAAATTGTCATGAATTGGTGGTTAAACAAATCTGAGCAAGGATAGTCTAGTGATATAAGAGTTAAAATTACAATTAATAATCAAGCTGGAAAAGGTATATGGGATAGATGTCCACACATAATTCAGCAGTAAACATGTGACATAGAGAAAGCTAAAAATAAAAAATGATAAACCTGAAATACCTTTAGAACCCATATAAATATAGGAAGCATCACAGAAAGCCAAACATAAAAGTCTCATATCTATGTATATATAGCAAGATCATTTTATCTAGAAATAGACAAAAGAGGCGTAACTTCACAAAGTTACTATTTATACCAGCTCCAATGAACCAAATAGGACACTTGTATTATTTAAACATAGCAACTATCTATTCACTTTCCTGTGAAGTATATATTCCCTTATAACTGCAAAGCTGACAAACACGGCCAGATGTTGAAATATCTGTTACCATACATACACACTTACCCACATGGTCTGTATGTAAATACAATATAGCTTTCTTCATCGCTTCGTTCAATAAATGTAACACACGTGTACTTTTCCCAGTGCCGCATAGCCTGTTTGAACATGGCGCGCTGGGTGCCTGGAAGAGTAATTGCATGAGATGAAATAAGTGACTTTTCCAACTGCATCTTCTTCCTTACAACCAATACTAGGAATATAGGCCTGAAAGAAGCCAGTGAATCATGTCCTGTGTCCCAGCAGTCCCATGTACTGCCAGATTCCAATTAAAATGAAACTCAGACCATCAGCTCATCATAATGTATGTGCCTGCAAGGGGACTAATACTGGCTGACACACTCTAGTAAATATAAAACCTGCAATAAAGACCACAACTATGTTACGCCAGAGGAAGACAACAGATGAAATACAGTGTTGCTTATGTGCCTGCATTAGCATCATATTTGCTAAGTCATTTCCCAGATGAAATTATCAAGTGAGCCGCATTCCGGTGAGAAAGAAAAAAGGAAATAAAAAAACCAGAAAATTGAGGAACCCTTGATCCTACCTATTTAGCTAGTAGGAAAAAAAAATCCTACAGCCTTCAAGTCTGGAGAGCAGTTTAACTTAACGCACTTAGAAAAAGATACCAGTCAAAGCATACCAGTCAAAGCATTTAATTTAAACAAGTCTGTCATGAACAGGGACCGGTCTCCATTTCTTTGCATCAATATATTTCAGAAAAAAAGAGATAAACCTAAAGTGGGAAATCAGAATTTGATAAAAGACTAAGCACACCTAGATATTGTTTTAAAAATGAGAAACACATTAAGAAAATATCAAAACTATACTCTAGATGCAGAAGCAGCCAGGACACATCTCAGCACAGAACACAAAGACAGCTAGTATAAAGTACTTCAGAGAACAGAGCTGTGTAATTCCACTGCCTGACAAAACGTAAGGCTTATTGATGTAGAGGCAGCATCTGAGAATATAGTTGTATTGCTTCTGAGCTGGAAATTCACAAAGAACAGTATTATTTGCCATGAATTTGCTAGTAGAAATACATCCACCTTGCAGGTTACAGTATAATTTAAAAAGCAAAACAAAACACCCAAACAAGCAAAACAAAATCCACCTTTTTTAAACTTTAAGACAAAAACCCCACAAAGTTCATAAAAACAGCAAGTTCAAATCACGTCAGATTTAAAAATTAAAGGTTATTTCAACCCATCTTGCCCTTTTCTTTTATCTTTAAGCAATGTTTTCCAAGTTTTAGTATTTATCCTTGGCTATGAGAAAAGCACAATGTTTAATATGATATGCTTTCATTTGGTTTACTACCATTATTTCAGAAGATGGTAATCCCAAAGCAAAGGTCACATTTGGCATAGTACTATGTAAATGCTCAAACTGAAAGTCTGACTGTAGATGTCAGTTTGAAAGGAATGACACTGGTTTCTTGCTATACATATGCACACAATGTGTAAGCATTTGCATGTTTCTTTTGGTTCCCTGTATTATTATGTACAATAAATAAGATGTTATTACATATCTTTTCCCATATATCTTTGTTTTTCTTGCTCCATTTTTGTTTTAAATTATTTGTTACATCCACATTTATATTGATCCATTTATATTTATCAGGGACCACAAATGTTTTAAACTTTAGCTACAGTTTTCTGCTAATACTATATACTGTGAAGCCAGTCTTTCTTCTTGTCATATACAATGTCTGTGTGTACCCATCCAAAAACCAAACTGAGGAATGACAAAACACATTTGAGTCAGCTTGTTCAGTGAAATCAGTTATGCAGAATACATGTCACACCAGTTAAACTAGACATATTCTTGTGCTAAATATCCTGCTTTTAATTAAAAATAAAAAAAAAAAATATTGGAGATTCTGTAACTCAGACTCTTGGAAACAAATGTGCAACGAGAAATATCAGGCAAAGAAACAGCCTTCCCTCTCTAAAACATAGCTGTAAGTTTTTATTATGTACCTTGCCTTGAGGAAATTTTTTTAAGTATGACTAGTATTTTCAGAACAGTTGTACTTCAGGCCTGTTCCAACAGAAACCCTTCTATTGACTTCCATAGAATGAATTTCGTTTTAAAAATTTGGAAAAAAAAAGAAAGTAATTAAAAAAAATCGTATTTCCTCTTTCTGTCCAAAGCACAAAGCTTACCAGTGAAATTTCCACCTATTACATATGGAATGACACCCCCTGGCCATATTCTTTCTGTTCGTGATGTAGCAGCTCTGGGAAAACGGTTTTTCTCATTTTTCCCCGAGAATTTTACAGTAGTTCTTCCTTTAGATGTATTATTTTGCTCAAAACCTGTAATGATAATTAGAACACCGAATGAGATCACACACACACAAAAAAAAAAGAACAATTCTTTTCCAGCTCAGATTATTTCTTTATGCCCTTTAAAAGTAGGACACTGTCGTTATGCAACAGTCTATCATTACTTGGTTTTCTGAGAAAGGCTTGAAATGAGGAGTCTGAATCCTCATTTTTTCAGACATATTTGCACATATGTTTATCGACTGGAGTGTGCATTGCATAATTTCATCTAAATTTTCTCATTTAATGATATTTTTTAAATCATACTCCCTGCAGTTTTGGGGTTTGTTTCTTTTCTGGTTTTTGTTTTGTTTTAAATAAATTAGGATTTTTCCAGCAAAGAAGGAAAGACTTTGGACAGACCCAAAGTAATCAAGTCATTCACTATCCACTTCATTTGTATTGCAACATCTAGAAAAAGAAAGCGCATGACCATCATTAAAGCACTCCACAGTAGGAAGTCCATACATTTTTCATAAACTAACTTTTGGAACGCTATGAGTAAGTGTTACTCATGGCTGGAATTTCTTTACAAGAGAAAAAATGTCCACTATTTTCAGGGATATTACCAGCATTCATCCCACTGCAGACAAATCTTTCCAAATTTACTGAAACTTACTGTGACAACAGAAAAGGACAAGGATAGTTAGACAAGGACCAGAAGTACAAGAGCAGGTGCTTCTTCTGAAGCAATTTATAAGTTAGTACACAGCTCAGTGCAGCTGATTAAAACAGATCCCTTGAAGGGTGATCAATAAAGTGCGATCAATAAACTCAGTACAGTTGAAGTCTTCTTACTCATTGAAGAGTACACCCTCCCTCTGTGAGAATCCCCTGTGATACCAGCTGTACCTAAGTGTTAATGACTATGGTAGCATCAGGGGGGATTCTAGGGCAGGATCATGGTAAGGAATCTTGGCACTGCCCCAGGGCTGGGAGAGCAGCAAAAGGAAGAAAGGGAAACTACAGCACAAGGCAGGGAAAAAGCTCTTTGATACACGGAAGAAAAGCCTGCCTTGTAATAACCAATAAATAACTTAAACTGCATCAAGGAATGATACGGAAAATTCCAAGATTGAAAAATAAACCACTCAGGTAAAGCATTTAACTTACCCTTGTCATTAAATAAGTGTGTAAGTGAGAACTATGCAACAGTCTACAACATAGGTAGACACTTCACATAAAAACTGTTGTTACACTTAATACGCAGAATTACTGAACCACACCACATGTTTATATAGATGTTTTGCCATTCCAAATTCTTTTTATCAGTGCTCTTCAGAACTCTGCATAAGAAATTTAAGCCAAATTGCATACAAAAGATGACAATAATTTATGCAATACTAAAATTTTAATTCTTATAATGAATGAACATTACATATCAGACCACATGTGCAAAGGCAGATACCGTGCTCCAGTTAACCTTGCAAGATACATTTAGACATAACATCATGCAATTATAATGGACTTTCACAGATTTTCTTTTTTGAGGCTGAGGTTTCATGACATTAACGTGACGTCTCCTTGCATTAAATACGGTGAGTAAACTCAACCAGCATTATGGGGATTCCACTTCTACAGTCTGCTGAATTCAAGTACATTCATATTGACAAGAGTATGATTAGTACAAAAATGTGCTTGTTCAGCACAACACACTGTAAGTACTTCCAGCAGAGTATGAATCATTAGGATGCCCCACATAGCTCCAAAATAAAGAAAGAAACAAACAAAATTAGCAGCTATGTAGTATAGCCTACCTGCAATGAAAAGACATTGAACTGATATTAGTTGAACTGAAAACTGCGAACACACCATAAGACAAAGTTAAGCAGTTTTTAATATGACTTTTAAAACTATGCATTTTAGCTTTCAGATTTGATACTGGAAATAGAACTCTAAGAAAGTGCAACAAAGAGCTAATCTCTTCATTACTATTTTTGCACTATTTACTTTATAATTTCTTTATACCAATAGTAATACACAGAGGCTTTAAAGTGTTAAAGTACTAGCATCATTAATGTTCATGATACATTATCACATCAGGCAACTTGCTAATTTAAACAGTGAAAATACCAGAGCCAAATCTTCTTATTCTCTCTATAAGCTGATAGAGGGCACCACGGTTTTTTGACATTCCATGCTCTCCAAAGCCACCTTTAAAATGAAAAGGAAAAAAAGAAAGGAATTTTACAAAAGTTAAAAACATAGAATCTTACACCTACAGCAACTACATAGCCTGGAGAGATTAAAAAGTACCCCATATAATCGGCAATGCATCTTAAAGGAAGAGGATTATTCTTCCTTAAAGAAAGGAATTATTCTTCAACTATTTGCATAAAAATTTTTTCATCTACTCTTGACAATGAAATAAAAACACATTATTAGCTGAAAAAATTTCTAATGTGCATTCCAGAATGTAAGCCAACATGTCTTTGTTATTCAGACAAGTCATGACAATTACATCATCTAATTATTATTTGGAGCTTTTTTTCTTCCTGGTGACCTTGACACACTCAGAGCCATATTGATTGACAGCTAAAAGGCTTACTCACATAAATTTCCTGAATGCATGCCATAATCTTCTCATTTCAAGGGAGGGGAAAGAGGGAAAGCAAACAGCCAAAAGTTTCATCAGAAAAAAAAAAAAAAGCAACAAAACTGATGCAAACTTAATATGGTTGATTTTACCATGAAAGATTTGGTTTTCTTGCCAGCATGCAAATAGATGTCAATGCACTCTAAAGGCTCTGAAACATCACACGCTGGTGTATATTGCAGTGTATATTCCTCCTAGGCATACATATACATATGTATGTCTCTGTCATTTCAGCAATCAACGAGTAAGAAAATCTAAGCTATTAAGCAGTATATTTTAACATTCAGTATGACATTTACAGACATAAAGCATTTCTGGGTTTACTGCATAAAATCTGCCACATTCTCCCTTCACATATAAACTGCAAGTGCCTTTTCAAACACCAGTAAACCAGAAGCAAGAATACTGACATTGCACTAGTAAAAAATCATTCAGAATTGTTCTGAAAGTTTGCAGTAGGTTGCATTTTAAAATTCATAATCTGTTATAGGACAAGAGAGTTTTCAAACTATTTTTACAACAGGAAAAGTAAAAAGAAAGAAATAGATCATTGGCTCCTCCAACCACCACTTAAAAGACCTTTCCCACTTCCCATAAAAACTTTCAATATATATGTAGAAAATATATTTAACAGCAGCTTAAAATCAAATTACAGATGAGAAAATTCCTTATAAGGCAAGTGAGCGTGTGGCTTCTCAGTGAATAACAATGTGCCTAATTATTTGGATTACACTGTCACATAGTTACTGGCTCCCTTGAGAAAAATTTTCCAAATTTTTGAAAACATTTTAGATAGATGAGGTAATAGTTCAACACATTCCTTTCCAACAAGTTACATGGTAACTATAACATACACTGCAGAGGATATAACATTGATCATCATTAATGCAATTGTCTTTCATGCTAACATTCATCTTCTAAAATAAGGCATATAGCTAAAGATTCCAAATTAATATTAAAAAATCCTTAAAAGCATCAACTGTCAGACATAACAGAAAAAAAACCAAAGCTTCCATTATTTACTTAAAGAAACTGTTATTCTACATTTCTAGGAAAAAAAAATCCCAAAACTCATTTCTGTTTTACCACAGACTGTGTATTAAAATTCATGGAAAAAAAAATGAAGTAAAAGTATCTCACTTAACTAATCTGTTTTATATGAATAATATACAGACTTGCCAAGCCACACAGTATAAAGAAGCTTTTTTAAAAAATCATATTTGCTGCATCTTCTCATACTTCAGGCAGGAGAAGGAGGATACTTTTGGCAGTTTGGACTTTTCTCAGCTTACTGTTGTTTCTGTTTACAGTGATTATGCATTTTGCTTAGATGAAATGAAAAATAGAATTACAGAACCACACATGAGAAGCTCACAGATTATCTGATCCTGCAAATCCAGGCAGATAATCCTCACCAAAAGGAGCAGTCACATAATGTGAATCAGAGCCTCAGGATTTTAATTAGAGTTGCAATGACAAGTGTGACTCCACCACTCCATCTTGATGGTTTACAACCAAGTATCTAGCCCTTCTACCTGATGGCACCTTTAGTTCGTAAAGATCAACAACAGAAAGTGCTCAGAATTTAAGTTTGCCATTAATTGCCACTTTGTCTATCTGTCCAAATAACCAACTAAAGCAAATTTTTGTTTTCTGTATTACAGGCATCCTACATTTCTTTTCCAGGTGATACCTAATATCAATTAGCTAGTTGCTGGCAACTTTTCAGAAATTAGGGGGAGAAAAGTACACTAGGCTGTGCAGTTTGCAAAACCAGGCTAAACTCCTACTTTATGCACGAAGAATGCTGTAAATTTAGGAAAAAAACTACGTATTTTAAATGTAATACTGAGTTCCCCAATACCAAAAATCAAGACTGTTGAGGATTCACTGAGAGCAATTACAAAGTAATTATAACTTCAACAGAGTTTGCTCTCCAGAGTTAATCCCACAGACCATTACAGTTACATTGACTCCTCTTGTGCTATAGAAGTAGAAAAAATTGATCCAAATGCATTAGTAATCCTCAAGAAGGGTGACCCAATATCCTGAATAGGATACATGCATTATCTTTTCTTGTGGACAGTATCACAAAACATGCAAAGAAAGAAAAATTAAAGAATAGGACATGAAATTTAATTTAAAAAAAAAAAAGCTTTGAAATGTATATTCTTTGTGGCAATTAATAAAAAATATATAAAATTAAAAATAAAAAGCAGCCAAAAAAAACCCACAACAACAGTGCAGTCCAAAAGAATAAAAAAGAAGAAAATCTAAAGAAATCGCTTGACTGCATCCACTTTAAGGAGAAATGGCCAATCTTGCTCTATATTTTGTCAGCAAAACTAGCACCTGAAATACATTCAAAGCCAACTAAAACTATTTTTTCTGGGGGGAAAGGGCTTAAGGGAACTCTATTAATATTTTTTAATCCGATCTAGAAATGATCAAAGGTGTTCCTGCCTTGAAAAAACAAGTGGCTTTAAAAGGACATAAAATAATTTTGCATGTTGTCATCAAAATAGTCTAATCACAACATCTAACTAGGAAAAGTAAATATATTTTTAATATGTCAATATTGAAAGCCTAAATTTAAAATCACTTTTTTGGCCTGAAAAACTACTTTCTGATTATTTGTCCAAGTAATACTTATTTCCACATATCAGGAATAAGTTATAGTAGCTCAGTTCAGGAACATATAGAATATGCTTAACAGATAAGAAATTTCAAATATACATTTATGCATTTTCTAATAATATTTTTGCCAGACTTTTCCTAAGTAACTTGCCTTTTTTTTTTGGTACCATAACCTGAAAGTTTACAAATTCTCTGTTACCAATTTACAAATCAGAGCCTGAGAGCATAAGTATTTTTAGACATCAGACAGACATACATTTAAACATGGATTGTGTTTTCTCTCTCACACAAATACACATATTTACATATAAATAATATCTCTTTATCTATCTGTCTAAATATCCAACTGCCTATGTTAAGCAGATTGCAGCTTCTGGCGTTAATGCACTGTATCTTAACAATAGCAAATAAACATGCATTACAATGTCAGCTCAATAGTTGCTTTTTAGACAAAGCAAATTCTAGCAAGGATAACACATTCTAGTGTTACTTCCAGATCTGGGTAAAGAACAAGATGAAACAGGAAAACAAAGCAAAGGGAGGAGTGGCAATCCAAGGCTCCCAGTTTTGCCTCCAGGATACCACCTATGTTCTCCATAGGGGGTGTGTGCTCTGCTATCAGGAACTTTCAGCAATGAAATCAAAGCTTTGTATTACTTCTTTTCCCACATGACCACAGGCAGTGTGGACTTAAGGCTTCCATCAGCTTCTGCTCCTCAATTCGACAAGGTATTTTAATCAGAAATGCCAGAATAAAATTAAAACTTTTGCTTCTCTTTTTCTTTCCTTAAAGCAAATTTATACTCATTGTTTAATAATTTTTTAACTGTAAACTAATGATACCCAAGACATTAGACTGATTTTCCACACTTAAAACAGAGATTGCCTTCTATGCAGAACTAACCAACAGGAAAAAAAGTTAAAACAAGCTTGAAATAGCATACCTGTGTTATGGCCAAGTCGTTCGTTGGAGTGCTGCGTAAGGTCAATCGTCCTGTCAATTTGAAAGATTTTTAAGTCTTCATCATCTAAGGCAATATCTCCCCAAAAGACAGCTTTAAATAAAAAAGAGCTCAATTTAATTAAAGAATTTATTTGGACAATAAAACCAATCTGAAGAATATGATGCCACGTT